GCCGAGGCGAGGGAGCAGTGAACCTGCACCTCCTTAAACGCATCCGCCTCCTCGCAGGGGACCCATGTGCTCAGTGAACACCTCCACTTCTTCAATCAGCTGGGTCTGTACAGTAACTAACTGCAGTGTGCCTGCTCCTGGACGTTGTCTTCACTAGCCAGAGGTTCCCCTGCACGCATCTGAACTGAAACCAAGATCCTGTGCAGCCTGGGGCAAGGTGCTCTTGGAGCCCTAGGAGTCGGTCACATAAAATAAACTGTCTTTTCAGTAACTTCCCCAAAGGAACAAACCAAACCACAGCGTCAAAGCAGGGCTATTGCTGCACAGAGCTCTGCGGTCTGATTTCCCCCTGTGCCCTCCACTTCAGCCATCCCATCTACCCAGCAGCTTTGCTCTTTGCTACAGCCTCCATAGTGCTGGGAAACCAGGGGCAGGACAAGAGGCACATCACTCTGCTTGGCTAAAGTAATGGAGAGAGAAAGCTGCAGGTTTGTGTGCCTGTCCTGCAGTGGTGGTGCTCAACCAGCAGCACAAAGCCCACGGAGAGGTGTGGAACCCTGCCCAGTGCCAGCAGCACCCAGCAGACTCAGCATCCTCTGGTACTCGCTGGGAGCTATGAAGCACCAAAGCGACCCACACTTCGGGACTTGCTTAACACTGAAGTTCTTGCCATCTCCATGAACTCTGGACACACCTGAGCAGTGAACTCTGCTTTCTTTCATTTTCTTTTTTAAACACTGTATATATTTGCCCTTTTAAAATACCATGTGTATACATTTGCACATATAGACACACACACACCCTTTTTACAAGGGCCCCTAGGGACAGGCCAAGGGGAATGGCTTTAACCTGCCCGAGGGGAGACTGAGATGAGCTCTTAGGCAGAAGCTCTTCCCTGTGAGGGTGCTGAGGCGTTGGCACAGGGTGCCCAGAGAAGCTGTGGCTGCCCCATCCCTGGCAGTGCTCAAGGCCAGGTTGGACACAGGGGCTTGGAGCAAGCTGCTCTAGTGGAAGGGGTCCCTGCCCGTGGCAGGGGTTGGGGCTGGAGGAGCTTTGAGGTCCCTTCAACAGAAACCAGGCTGTGGTACATAAAAGAAGTTCAAGGTGCAAATTAAATTACAAAGAGGGACACCATCAACAGCTCCCCAGCAGGTATCCAGCTGTTGGCAGGACTGTCCTCATGCCGAATCCAAGGCTGTCACCTGGCTCCACATGCCAGCCAGAACAGCTCCAAGCCTGTAGGAGCCTGGCAGCCCCCCTGGAGACAGTGAGGATGCAGGGACGTGCCTGAACCCACCCATACAGCAGAAAGGCAGAGCATACATATGCATGGCATGAGAGCTCCTGGGAATGCCGGCATGACTGCAAACCAGCATTAGCCTAGTTCCTCACAAACACCAACAGTGCTTGAATGATAACAGAAAACGTTCCTGTTTGATCCATTCTCTCTATCTATGCTATCATTAATAGTGGGAGCGAAGACAGGGTTGTATGATTAATTTTATGGATCATGTGTTAGCTAGCACTGATATATCCTAACCGGGCACGTAAAGCACCCACAATTGTAACTGATGAACAAGGTGTTTATCACAGAACAGAGCAGACACCAGGAATTCTGCAGGGTTTGGGAGCAGAGGAGGGCTTGCAGCAGCGACAGCCCCGCTTGTCCGGAGCCAACAGTTCATTACCACGGCACAAAGAAACGCTCACTAAAACCCTTCTTTGAGGCGCTTTCTCACCCTCCACCTTTGCAAAGACCACCACAGGAGGAAGGGAATTACTCCCACGTGTGCACACCTCGAGCTCTGCCAGCACACAGCTCAAAGTTAACACCCATGTGCAAGCTGATCAGAGGCCTGCTCCTAAATAAAAGGGCTGTTGGGATGTGCAAGCCCTACTGAAACTCAGTCCTCACACAGCTGACTGCTCAAGCACAGAGCACAGAACCCCGCTGCAGCAAGCCCCAAGGTCAGGCGAACCAAGCCCTGGTGTCACTGTCGCATCGGGTACCAATGCATTTGTGTATCTTGGACTTGCACAAGTAATCTGTTAAAATAGAGCACTTAGTCATTGTTTTGAAACATGACCTGACTGCTAAAGGACAGGCTGCTTCAGCTTTGTAGCCTGTTCCACTTGTGGACGTATTTTGGTTTGTCTAGACCTGGACACACTAAAATAACTAGATTCTTAGTGTCTGTGGGGTGCACTGGATCAAACCAGACCAGGAACACTATTTCAGTGGCATCTCAGCTGCCATCCCACCTTGTCACACCTCTCTGAGGAGTGGCAGTGCCCTGTCATTGCTGCCACAGCCATCGGCAACCTGAGCTCTGCTTCTGCACACTGCAGAGCACCAAGCACCAACCTGTATCCCACCTCATAGACAATACTTAGGGGAGACCTGAGAGCAGCTCCAGTGCCTGAAGGGGCTGCAGGAAAGCTGGAGAGGGGCTTGGGACAAGGGATGTAGGGACAGGCCAAGGGGAATGGCTTTAAGCTGCCCGAGGGGAGACTGAGATGAGCTCTTAGGCAGAAGCTCTTCCCTGTGAGGGTGCTGAGGCGCTGGCACAGGGTGCCCAGAGAAGCTGTGGCTGCCCCATCCCTGGCAGTGTTCAAGGCCAGGTTGGACACAGGGGCTTGGAGCAAGCTGCTCTAGTGGAAGGGGTCCCTGCCCGTGGCAGGGGTTGGAGCTGGAGGAGCTTTGAGGTCCCTTCCAACACAAACCAGGCTGGGACTCTATAAAGGGACCAGGACCCTGCAGCTGCAGGGCTCAGCCACAAGCCACTGGCTGTTTCCATGGACCCATTGGTGAGGCACCACCCAAGGTGGCTTCCTGGGAAGAGTTCCATGCAGAGCACAAGGCTGTGATGCTCCCCATGTGCCAGATGTGGGGGACCACACCTAGTTTACACACCAAACCTTCCAGCTGTTTCACAAGCACCACTACACCCAGGCTTCAGCTCCCAGGAGGGCTGGGAGCTGCTGGAGCCCATCCCACAGCTACCAGAGTGAAGAGGAGCCTTTTCACTCCTTGAACACATCAGAAGTGTTAAATACCTCGGGGGAAAAACCAGTCAGTGATTGATCAGTGCTGGTTCCTCTGCTGGAAAATCAGAAGTGGGTTTTTCCAGCAACTAAAGGAAGTTTGCCCACAATAATCCCCCAGGACTTGCCTGCAGACAGGCGGTGGTAAGGGAGGGAATAGGCAAGACTGAAGACTGGACTAAGAGCAGCTAAGTTTGCACCTCGAAATCCCTGCAATCCTGATAACATTTCTGTTTATTGCCTATGAAATCAAACCTAAACGCATCTGTTTTTATCACATCTCGACAACAGAAACCAGGATTGCGGATCAACGTCTTCCTTTGGTTCAAGCAACTTCTTTTTAAACTTCGGAGGGAGCAGCTACAAGAAAAACACTTTGGGGCTGAACATGGAGCCTGGCTTCCACCCACAACGCAGGCCAAGACACCTTATCTCATGAGTAAGAGCTGGGTTCTGTAAGCAGCTCTTGAAGAAAAAGGGAGGGGGCAGGAAAAAATCCCCAGTCCTGATAATGGTCAGGGTTGGTTCAGGACAAAACAAGAAAAACTGGGTTTTATCCAGCGTGCGCCAGTGACTCTGTTGTGATTAAGCAGACGCGAGGAAGGAAGAGAACAGGGGGGGGGGGGGGGGAGAACGTTGGTGTTTCAAAATGATGTTTAGTATTACTTCTATGGGTCTCGGAAGCAGAGAATTAGAGGGGCTACGAATGCAAAGTGCTGATGTGCACCAGGAGCACTGCCTCTGCTGCCTGGGGAAAAGAAGGGGGTAACGTAAAGAAGCATTAAGAAATAAAAGCATACAGCAGGTATTTCCTCAATACCGCTCCGACAGAGGCCATGGGGAGAACAGCCCAACTTCACTCCCCCAGGCAGGAGGCACATCCAGAGCAACGCGGCTCCCATTACCCCCGGCGGGCACTGGGAATCCCAGCAGCCGCAAAGGGAAGGGAATAAAGCCCGGGGCGGGGGGGAGGCAGGAGGGTTTTGGGGCGGGCAGGGCACTGGGAAGCTGCACGCAGCCGGCCCCGAGCCGCGAGGAGCCGGCGCACAACGCGAAGCTGCTTTCGAGTAAAAGAACAAATAAACCAACCGAGAGGCGCCGGGGCTGCCCCAGCGCCCGGCTCTCCTCCATCTTCCTCCTTCCATACCCAGCTCCTTCCCCGGCAGGGGCCAGCCCCACCGCCACCCTCCCGAGGCCGAGGGGCTCAAGGCCGGGGTTTTACGTCCCCCGGGATGGGGACGCTCCAGGGCAGGGACCGCAGCAGCGGCTCCGGGTGTCCCGGATCCCGGTCCGAGAGGGAGTCCGGGGGATGAGCACGGCGGGGACCGGGGTTGTCCGGACAGGACCGAGCACTGGAGGGGGAGAGCTTAAGGCCCCCCACCCAGCGCCGCTTGGAAGCGGCTCCTGAGGAAGGAAAGGGAAGGAAAAGGGGTGGGATGATCCCCATACAACGACCCCGGACACTCAACCGGGCCGCGGGGCGGCGGAGCGGGGCCGGGCAGCACCCACCAGCGCTCCCTCCTTCTGCTTCTCAGTTTTATTCCAATTTCTATCGGTTTTTCGCTATCGTTCCGGTGAGGTTCCCCCCTGCGGCCGGCTGGAAGCCGGGGAGGGGCCGAGGTACGACGAGAGTGGAGGGATAATCTATTTTTCGTCAATTAAATATATATCTTCTTTTCTTAAATCAACTTCGCAGCTGCAGGCTCCCCTGCGCTACCGGTCGCCATACTGAAGGCTTTCCCCCCTCCCTTCCCTCTTTCTTTAAGTGGAGGCTGAAACCAGGCCATAAAACGCACACAAAACCCAACAAAGCGCAAACTTTTCCCTGTGCCCGATGGCTCCGTGCAGGCGCCGGGCGAGAGGCCGCGTTTTAATCACGGAGCCCGGGTTCATTACGGCAGGGGAGGGAGGCAGCGATACCGCCGCCAGCAGAGAAGGGGTCGGCCCGCACTCACCGATCAGCCCCCCCACCAGGAAGGCGATGACTTGGAACACCAGCAGGATGCCCCCGACGATGCACAGCTTCTTGGTGCTCATGTTCTCGATGATGGCCCCAGCCATCTTCGCACGCTGCCAGCCCCGCTCCTGCCCGCTGCTCCGCTCCGCTCCCCACCCGGGCGGGCGGGCTCACAGGCACGGCGGGGCCCGCCGGGACAGGACGGGACCGGCCCCGCTCTTCCTCCGCCCGCGCCCGTCCTTCCTCCTCCTCCTCCTCCTCCGCCGTGATTGTGGCGGCCCCGCCGCATGTGGCCGCTTTAAAGGAGCTGGCGGCGGGTCACGTGACGCGGCCACCGCCCCTCCCCGCTCCCTCAGCACCGGCTTCCCCCCCCCCCCCCCCCCCCCCCCCCCGACTCCCTCCTGAAGCGGGGCAACCCCACCCCCACCCCCCTCCACAGCGGCATTCCCGATGGAGCACTGAGCTGCACTGCACTGAACTGCACTGCACTACACTGTACTGTACTGAACTGCACTGCACTGTACTGCACTGCACTGTACTGCACTGCACTGTACTGCACTGAACTGTACTGAACTGCACTGTACTGCACTGTACTGAACTGCACTGCACTGTACTGCACTGAACTGCACTGCACTGTACTGCACTGCACTGCACTGTACTGAACTGCACTGCACTGTACTGTACTGAACTGCACTGCACTGTACTGCACTGCACTGTACTGTACTGAACTGCACTGCACTGTACTGTACTGAACTGCACTGCACTGTACTGCACTGCACTGTACTGTACTGAACTGCACTGCACTGTACTGCACTGCACTGTACTGTACTGAACTGCACTGCACTGTACTGTACTGAACTGAACTGCACTGTACTGCACTGCACTGTACTGTACTGAACTGCACTGCACTGTACTGCACTGCACTGTACTGTACTGAACTGCACTGCACTGTACTGTACTGAACTGCGCTGTACTGCACTGCACTGTACTGTACTGAACTGCACTGCACTGCACTGCACTGCACTGTACTGCACTGCACTGAACTGTACTGCACTGCACTGTACTGAACTTCACTGTGCTGCACTGCACTGCACTGTACTGAACTGAACTGCACTGCACTGTACTGTACTGAACTGCGCTGTACTGCACTGCACTGCACTGCACTGTACTGTACTGAACTGCACTGCACTGCACTGTACTGAACTGTACTGCACTGCACTGTACTGAACTGCACTGTACTGAACTGTACTGCGCTGCACTGCACTGCACTGCGCTGAAATGTACTGCGCTGCACTGTACTGCACTGCACTGCACTGTACTGAACTGTACTGCACTGCACTGAACTGTACTGCACTGCACTGTACTGAACTGTACTGTACTGCACTGTACTGCACTGCACTGCACTGTACTGCACTGTACTGCACTGCACTGTACTGCACTGCACTGAACTGTACTGCACTGTACTGCACTGCACTGTACTGTACTGCACTGCACTGCAAAGCACTGCACTGTACTACACTGCACTGCAAAGCACTGCACTGTACTGTACTGTACTGTACTGCACTGTACTGCACTGCACTGCACTGCACCGCACCGGGCTGGGCTTCTGGAGCCACGGAATGGGCTGGGTTGAAGGGACCTCAAAGCTCCTCCAGCTCCAACCCCTGCCACAGGCAGGGACACCTTCCACCAGAGCAGCTTGCTCCAAGCCCCTGTGTCCAACCTGGCCTTGAACACTGCCAGGGATGGGGCAGCCACAGCTTCTCTGGGCACCCTGTGCCAGCGCCTCAGCACCCTCACAGGGAAGAGTTTCTGCCTAAGAGCTCAGCTCAGTCTCCCCTCTGGCAGCTTAAAGCCATTCCCCTTGGCCTGTCCCTACATCCCTTGTCCCAAGCCCCTCTCCAGCTTTCCTGCAGCCCCTTCAGGCACTGGAGCTGCTCTCAGGTCTCCCCTTCAGGAGCCTTCTCTTCTCCAGGCTGCCCCAGCCCAGCTCTCTCAGCCTGGCTCCAGAGCAGAGCTGCTCCAGCCCTCGCAGCATTTCCATGGCCTCCTCTGGCCTTGCTCCAGCAGCTCCACGTCCCTCTTCTGTGCGGTGCCCCCACACAGGTCACACCAAGCAGTTTTCCCCGTTAAACTGCCCTTGGTTCACCTCCACATCCCAGGGCAGGGCTGCAAGGATGTGCACACCCATCGCGGTCCCTGGAGGATGCTTCCCTCCTGGTTCTGCCCTCTCCCCCGTTCCTGTACCTGACTCAGAATGAGCTCTCCATCCCCAGCCACTCTCTGGTTATTCAGCATGAATCCCATTGTTCCTTCTACCCGATCTATCAGTCACGGGATAGCACAGTGGTCTGTGCTATGCTGCCCCATTGGGCATGCAGTGGAGAGCACAGAGCACTGCCGTCTGCAATTGAAACAAGGCAGGGAGCTGCTGAAAACACTCCTTGAGGACAAATAAACCATGAAAGGAAACAAGTGGTGACAACAGCCCCATCCCTGGCAGTGTTCAAGGCCAGGTTGGACACAGGGCCTTGGGGCAAGCTGCTCTAGTGGAAGGTGTCCCTGCCCGTGGCAGGGGGGTGGAACTGGGTGAGATTTAAGCTCACTTCCAACCCAAACCATTTTGTGATTTCCAACAGAGGGAATACTGAAAGTTGTCACTCAGAATAGACATGAAGTGTCCAACAGACACCCTAACCGTTAGTATTCGGTATTTCAAAATAAGCCTTTTTTATAGCACTTGTTCTATGGGGGTTTTCTTGAAATTTCAGTGTAAAGTACTTGGTATTTTAAGTCTTTAATTGTCTTGGCAAAAAGCCACCGTAACAGGCTTTGATTTTTGGAAGCAGGTCTGTGGGAACGCTCCTAGCGGGTTCATAATGGGCACAAAGAACTTTTCCATTAAGAGCTATTTTTAACACTGAAGTCATAACTTAATGTAAAACCCCCAAAAAGCAAAAACTAACCTGAACTTCTAAAAGAGTAAACTCTCTGGCAGTCACAAAATACCTGAAGTTATCCTTGACTCCTGTATCCCAACCGCTGCAATCACTGCTGGCAAGGAGAGCCTGCCCGGTCCAGGCCACCCTTGGAGGTCCCACAGTTACCCAAAGGCAGGGACGTGTATGACCAAACACCTTTGGAGCCACAAGCACCACTAAACGCAATCTACCTTAATGACTCTACTAAAGTTACATGATGCGTTCTTAAATGTCCCATTTCTTCCAAGCAATTTATTTCTGGGATGAAAATCCAAGAGGCAGAGCTAAGATCCTGCCGTAATAACAGAATCTGAAGTGGGGAAAAGAAAGGAAAATAGCAAAGCCACAGGAAACAATGCTTCACATTTATAAGGCACTCTCCGTTTCTGGTGCATTCCTACACCTTTAATACTGCAACGTTTAGAGCTATTCATCTCATTTGACTTTTGACACACGTCCAAAGGGCGTATAGAGCCATACCATAGCGAGCCGAGACCTCTCTCTTGCCAAGGAGTGACCACACACAGAATCACACAGGGAAGAAACCAGCCCAAAGCACATGAGGAGGAACGTCTCCATCACTTTCCCTTTGCAGCTGGTTACAAACCAGAACTTCTGCCCCTGTCAGGTCTCCAGAATCAATCATCTGGGAACTCATCTGCTTGCTGCTTATGACCTGACTTTCTCTTGACTGCTGGAGGCTGTTTTGCTATTAAAATAGCAATCCTACAGCCAGCCCCGGGCAGGAGGAGCCTTTCCACAGGGAATGCTTCTTCTTCGCAGGGTTGGGCCTCCAGCCCAGACTTCCAAAGGGGTTGAGAAGCCTGAAGATGCAGGTAAGGGCCCAGCGGGACTTCCACAAGCTCCTCGTTCTTGGTGCTACCTGTCTGTGCTACAGGTCACTGCAAAAGCCTTGAGAAAGCTTTTCGGGTGCTGGGTTTGCGCAGAGCTCAGACTCCCTGAAAATCACTGCGTTTTCTCCCCTTGCCTGTCTCATGTCAGTTGGTGAGCTGAAAATTCAAGCTAGAATTCAGAGGTGGTTTCCAAACACCACCGGAAGAGAAGGACACACGCTACAAATGCAACACGTAGGCTTGACAGAGCAGCAGCGATGATCTCAATTGGGAAGCAAAATGACGTGAGCGTAGTAATAATGCTAAAAACAAGACCTAAACCAAAACCAAAACCCAAAACCACCCCAAAATCAACCCCCACCGCAGTTATTCAGACTTACACTGCTGCACAGAAGTCCCGGCTTGAGCTGCTTCAGGGTTGCTTTACAGAAGCACTGTTTATACCAGTGCAACAGTGGACTCTGATCCATATATAAAATCCAAAGGATAATAGAGGACAAAAAGCTGATTAAATCATGGTCATCTCCCAGCAGATACAATCTTGTTGGTACTTGCCTGCTTTATTTACAACACAGCGTGCAGGGTAACTACAACAGACCCGCGGGGATTAAGCTTTAGCTGTGGTCTCCGCTTCGTAGGCTGTATTTTTCAGTGTGGGTATCACTGTTGCTTGATGCTACAGCTGCAGTTTCTTGTTTTGTTTGGCATGCACCCAACACGTTACAAAATTACCCCCGGTAATAACTAATGTGGAGCTGCTGCTCCAGGGGAAAGACTCTTAAAGGCTCTCAAAAGCACTCTTACTCCTCAGTACTCCTAGGAGCTTTTATAGGTAACTCCATAGCTCTGTTCTCTTGCGAATACTGATAACATGGAAAATTCTCTTACAGAACAGGAAAAGGGCGTTTTGTGTTATTTCTAGTGCACAGACACTGGGGAACATTTTATCTGTGTCAGAAAAGCCTTCGCTATGGGTCGTAAAGATACATGTGAAACTTAGTGTGGCACACATCAAAACAACCCTGGAGGGTTTGAGATGGGTGAGTACACAGACAACTACAAGTTGTAACTGCCCATTGCAGTTCGGACCAGGAACAACATGGACAGGTATGCAGTACTGCATCATGAGCAAGCCCCACTCTGTAATGTAAATACTTTGAGTGATTTCCAAGCCCCATTGTCGTTCCAGGCTGAACATTCAGACACTTCTTAGGAACCAGGAAAGTGGAATTTGAGCACCTCCCATAGGAAGATAGGCTGAGAAAACTGGAGTTGTTCAGCCTGGAGAAGAGAAGCTGTGTGGAGACCTCAGAGCAGCTTCCAGTGTCTGAAGGGGCTACATGGATGCTGGGGAGGGACTCTTCATTAGGGACTGGAGTGATAGGACAAGGGGTAACGGGTTCAAACTGAAACAGGGCAGATTTAGGTTGAATGTAAGGAAGAA